CTCTCTCTCTCTCTCTCTCTCTCTCTCTCTCTCTCTCTCTCTCTTGTGGAACTATACCCGCGACGTAAACTCTCTCACGAAAATAACTTTGTTTACCCCTGCGGAAAATACGCGAATTGAAGAATCGACGGGAACTCTTTTCCTGCTATTGTCTGATCTTCGAAACCTGAAGTGTCTCCCCTCGGTGGTGATTTCCAATCGAGAAGTATATTTTTTTTCTGTACAGTCATCTCGTATTTCTCTTTATACAAATATTCTATAATTTAAGAAAAACCTTTATTCACAATATTCTGCGTATAAGGTGTGCGTGTGTTGTGTATGTGTTGTGGGTGTGTGTATGTGTGAGTGAGTGAAATTACGGAATTACAATTCCACAAGTAAATTTCTTTAATTTTATCCAAGATTGGAAATCCATAATTCTCTCTCCCTTAAATCCCGATCTTCTCCTCGAGATTCGCCTATCTTTCGCAGGATTTACAGACACGCCTCTGACATCGCGGCGGGGAGCTGCGATCGAAAGCAACGTACTAACGGATGTACCTAATGTAACGCTTTACGTTCTGAAAAAGCGGTCGCCGTATCACGCCATTTCTTTTTTTTGCGGCGGGTTTCCTCGCGTTTAGGGAGACCATACGTCCCGATCAAATATTTTAAAGACACTAACGGCTTTTTTCTGTATATATATATGTGTATATATATATATATATATATATATATATATATATATATATATATATATATATATATATATATATATATATTCTATGTAATTTGCCCCCTGTGCATCATATCATCTGAATATACACAATTCGTCTATGTAGCCCTTTTTATAGCCCTGATAAACACGACCTGAACCCTTCATCTCAAGCGAGAAGGAGGGAATGAAAGGGTGGAGGGCGGGAGAAAGGGAGCGAAAATGGAGCTTTTCGAGAAAGCTTACAGCACGAACATCGCGCTCGTTCGTGACTTTTGCTCTCGCTCACTCGCGCAAATCGCAGCAAATTCTATTTCTCTCGCATCCGCAGTGGTCCTAGCCATGTATAGAGCGATACTGTAACTCCAAGTAACAGCGATACAAACTGTCGTCCCAACTCTTCGATTCTTCACATGCTACCGTACGTATAGTAGTATTGTCACGTACGCATGCACACGTACGCACGTGTGTATTTGATGTATGTGTATGTATATGTGTTTTCATATATATGTGTACATGTTATACCAACGAGTACGTGTAGGCTTGAGCATACGCAATTATTCATTCGCACACATACGCAGATACGCGCGATTAGAAAGACTAATTAGTGCTCTATATAGAGTAATATCTCTCACATGGGACGCCTTGGCGGTCGCCCACGCATGATTGTACAATTTTCAAAGAAGTTGCAGCCTCTCGAGGGTGCAGCTAGCATACGTCCAGTCTCTCCCGTTCCGTTAATTAATATATTTATATATTTATATATATATATATATATATATATAGTATCGTTAATTCATTTACTTTATCTATGTATATATTTACAAGTATTTATGCGTAGAGACAGACGTGCGTGCACGTGTAATCGCGACGTTTCCGATCGATTATGCTGCGATCTTTGATGATCACGAGATCGCGCGTTTACGAGTGCACGCGCGCTTCCCTCGCGTCTCTCTCTCTGCATGTGTGTATGTATATATGTATGTATGCATGTGTATATATGTATGTGTGTGTGTGTGTATACAGTATATCTATAATTTTTAATTGACATATAATTTTATCATATATGCCTCGTGAAAACCAGCTCCCGAGGATCCCGGATACCCGTCCGTCGATCCGCAAATTCGTCGCTGAATCGCCAATCGAGAGAACGTTCTTCCACTTCCCTTTTTCTTCCGCTTCCCTTTTTTTTCTTCTTTTCCTTTTTCACGCACGCAAACGGAGTTGTGTCAAGCTTGTCAAGCGCAGAAGTACTACGGTCTGATTAACGTTGTCTGATATTATATGTATATGTGTGTATATCGTAATAATTCTACGCGGGTCTAGTTTACTCTATACACGTGTCAACATCACCTATTGTACGCCGTAGACATACGACGAGTGTACTCGGACATTTTAATGATTCTGTTATCGGCTCTGATAGACGGCATCTTTCTCTCAGAAATGAATGTATAAATAATGTATATGAATGTATGAATATATGAATAATACTAAACCTTCAACTACACTGGAAAAAACGCTCAGTAAGCGACAAAATGCGACTCCCCTCGTCTGCTTTTCTATTACTTAATTTCCTTTGTTCGCGAACGAATCTGTCCCGTGTAATCCTATATATATTTATCGTTTGCCAAATTATCTGTGGATATTTAAGATTGATGGCTCAGACATCTTATTATTTTTTCTCACGTGCACGAATAAGATAATTAAGTGTCGTTAGGAATTAAATTTGGACGTCATCCGAGTACATCGATCGAATATTTGCGTCGTACGGGCCGGGATACTTGTAAAACGGGAATTCGGCAACGATACCCAATCACTCAGTGTCCGCTAATTGATAATAGGCACTATAGGTCAACATGAGGTTATGGCATTTCAGCGGCAACGTTTCCGTCTACAAAGGGAAAGTAAAATTGGTGGCGGTGTTCTCCTTCATGGAGAGTGACGGTCGTCACTGTGGTTCCCCGAAGTGTTCTGTTGGATCGTCGGAACATAATGCGCTTATCTAGGATAAAAAATATACGAGAGATGTCCCTTAAAATAATTCGTTGTCCATGAAAATTCGAACGTGCGCCCACGGGTGTTACCCGTTCGTCTGAGACTCTAATGAAACCTAGCGAAGCCAGCCTCACGCGTTTATCCTTTGCAGGGGGATAGGATAATGTTTCTTTTTTTCCATTCTCTCTTTCTTTTCTTTTGATAACAAAGGCCCAGGCCCGGCTCTACGTGTCTAGGCGAGATACATTTGCAGGAGCGGCGTTTCGGAGGAAACAGTGAAGTGCACGCACGTGTAAACGAATACAAAGTAACACTACGATTTGCCAGAGGCGAACGAGACCTGAAGATAGCTAAAGCCGGTCCTGTGAAGGATCTTGCGTATCAGGACTCGCGTTGTGATAATTCTTAATGGCACACCGGGTTGCGCGATATCGCGTTGCGCGCGGCCAGTTTTGGATTATTATCTTTCCTTTTTTTATTACAATTCAAACAGATCCATCGTGCGGTCGTTAAAAATCGATCTTGAGATACTCACATGAGATCTGTTCGCATTGTTGCGAACACTCGTGGATGTAGGTGTACGTGATCTATGATAGAACGGAAACGATGCGAAAGATACAAGCAAGAATTTGGACTGACGAGTAATGGAGAAAATACGTCGCGTAATATGATTGGAATTCAAGAAGATTATTATGCAAGACTTTGTGCGTTAAAAGGGCTTAACACTTCGACAAGACTGGATTATTTATCGGGGACACCCACCAGTCGCGCGAATTCAATTTTTACGAGTAATTTCAAGTCGATAAAAGTGCCGTAGCTCTCAAGGAGAATTCAAGAACAAACGCGTGTAAGATCGAATCGAATAGCTAGATATCTCTGCCAGAAGCCGCTCTTAAGAGCTCATATAAATCAATTGTGAAACTAAGGCTACGATCGGAGAGTCCAGTTGGCAGCTTCACCCTCGACAACGATTCTTGATAGTGAAGGTTGCCAAAGCGCGCGATTGCAAGTCGTTCGCGTATGCAGCGGCGAGAGCGCTCCTTTGTCAGAAATCGTTCTCGAGAGTGAACTCAACCCTTCCCGCGTCTTTTCGGCAATGCATTGCACAGAGTAGCTAAAATAGAATCACTTGGTCCATCGTAAACGTTCGATCCTCCGCGTGACTATTCAAGCGCCCTGATTGCGCGTCACACGAACATAATCTAACACCGAAGAGAGAGATGCAGCCTTATCAACGATTTCGCTTAAAGAAATGCGTTGGAATGCGCGTAGAATTTGTTAAAGGTTGCTCGCTTTATTACTCCGTTCATTCACCGTTTATTATTTTAAATATCCTAAGTCTTTCTTTTGGCGTCGCGCTGGAAGGGTTGAGCGGCCAACGCGCGGCTAGGGAATAGCAAAAGTGCAACGAGAAAAGCTGCTGTAACATGATGTAAAGTATGCGTGTCGTTTTGTGCGGTATCTTGCCTTCGGAGGTCTTTCTAAATGCTGCGAATGCGCAGCGGAGAGAATCGAGAGAAGCGTAAGTCGGAGCCGCGCCGTTATTAAATAGGGACGTGGACGTACACGGGAACGTCGTCGTTCTCAAGCGTTCCTTGCCTCGACGGTTTCTACGTACGCAACGCAACGGAAAATGCGCCTAATTGCTCGAGCATTGCTATGGCAGTACGATGTATTACGATCGTCGCGACTGTAGAAATTCTTCGTGTCGGAGCGAAAGATCGGTTCTCGAGCGGTCCCCTCCTTCGTCGATTCGCGAGGATACCTTCGCGCGATACCGTAAGCGATGAATGATCGAACGAGAGCGCCTCTTGGCGCTTCGCCTTGCGACGTGCGACAATGAGGCTGGCTGACGGACAGTGTTGGGGATTTACGCGTGATCCACGCGGAGAGCCTGTCTCTCGTTTGAAGCGTCTCGTGAGAGATTTATGCAATTGTAAATTTATACTGAGCGCACTCTACGAATATGTGTGCTCTATTGAGAAGAACGTCGCGTATTATCGCAGTAATTTCAAATTACCGAAATAATCCCAATATTACATGTCGCATAAAATAATTAAGTTATTTCAACAATGGCGAGAGAATCGAAATTAATCTCTATGGCTTCAAAACGAACGGAACGTCACGTTTAACTTAATGTGAATAATTTTGTTATTACCATACATTTTTTAAATCTCTAACACACGTGTGTAGCTCGAATTGTCGCAGATTGTCTTTTGTCGCGTGTCGAGGCGAAAGCTACTACTAGCTTTTGGAGTTTTTAATAATTTACTTGTTTGCATTTGATGTGTTGTTTCTTGTTTTATTCGTGAAGCTATCGTACCGTCGATTAAGCGTAGACACCCAACTCTGTCGACTGATACGCTGCGATCAGCTGGTCGTTTTGCGATCACGACAACTGGTTCGCTAATCCAAAGGTGGTCACTGTAAGAAACGGATTCGAATACTTTGGTTATACGATAATAATCACGATCACCGAAGGAAGCCACATTATCTCTGTTTTCGTTTTATTTGTTTTTTTTTACGACCTTCCTCGCCGTTAGTGACGCGAGTGATTTTATCCTAAGATTTGAGGCAGTACTCTTTTTGTATACCAATAAAATTCGTTCTTCGTAACAAACTCCGGGCGGTCTGCATCATCTACATGCTAACGATCTAGATTCTCTTTTTCTCTTTTTTCCATTTTTTGAAGAAAACATCGTTCAACAGAATCGAATGTGCCCATATTTGGTCCGACCACCCTTAATTACGACGTAAGAGACAAGGATTACGCAATGTATAAATGTAGAGTTAGTAAAAAGGTAGTTTCAATTATTATCCGTACCGAGGAGCGCCTCTGTACGTGCATGTGAATGCAAATATCGCTCTCCTTTTTCCTTTCTTTCTTTTTCTCTGTCTCACTTTCATTCACTAAAGCCGCGTTAAATCAGTGTTAAGAAGCTAACAGGGCCATGAGCCTGAGAATTTAATGGAATTAAATAGCAACACCGAAATGCTATTCCGAATAATAAGCAAGCGATTGAAATTTCGCGATGAGATAATTGGAGACTTCAAATAATATCGTTCCCGATAATTACATTTTAGATTTCCGATATTGGCAATTCCAATTATCTCAAAGTGTTTTCAATTCAGAATTTCAACGTTGGAAATTCTAATTATTTATATATGTGATTGATGTTTATATATAAATGCTCAACGCCTATTGGATAACTGAATTCTTTTTTCGCTTTATCCAAAACACATCGAAGAGACAAATTAATAATTGAGATGAAAGCGTATTCTTACCAGAGTAGCGCAAGTTACTAGAAATAGTCGCTGTCTCAGAACATAAAAGAAAGTCAGTTGCATCAACATTGGTACGACTTTGAAGTTTCACTATCGCGATAGTTGATTAGCGGCAATTATGCAATAAATTCGAATGCCGCGGAAGCATCGACTGGCGTTGATTGTTAGTTTGTACAAGTCTAGTGCAATCACAATGCAATTATGTTTCTGATTTGTCACAATTAATGCGATCTCTCTCTCTCTCTCTCTCTCTCTCTCTCTCTCTCTTTCTCTCTCTCTCTGCTTCATATATATACTATATTAATTACACGGCATAGAGAAAATTGCTAAAGGCAAACTGGTGCCGCGTATAGTTTGTACAAATCAGTACGATCAAATGGTGTCGGAAACGCGCGCATTTAAAGTGCGTCCAAGATTCATATCTCAAAGTGTCTCTGGAAAAAAGCATTAAGTTGTCCTTAGAGCTTACGATAGTAATGATTCGTCAACCGCGTTAATGTGTGGATTCTTTTACGTAGTAAAAATTCATAATGTAATAAATTGTATCCGTTATCTCTATTATATGTACACATACACACACACGCACACATACACACATACACACATTTCTAGTGTCGCGAATCAACTTTTTATCGGGATATAATAATGCAATAAGTACTCCTCGTATTGTTCTAGTTTCCTGAAAACGGCTACATCTGGTATTTCCGCTACGCTGGTAATTCATCATTACTTTCTCGCCGTCAGAGGAATGTCTCATGTCTTTTTTTCTTTCTTTATCCAAGAGCAACGTCGCGTCAACATGACAACGATGTTCCCCCAACGACCTGCTCGGCCTTCTACCGTAATGGAAAAACTGTTGAAAATCTTTTTTTTCAATTTCGTCCTTGTCCCTTCCTTCGTTTCTCGACGTAATGGCTCTCGACCTTCTCCCGCGACATTCAAGCGAAAGTGTATCGACAGCTAGACGCCTTGATTAGGCGGACATTTAAAAAGTATCGTTAGTGCTTCGTCGGATAGAATCCTCGAAACAACGAAAATATCACTTCATTTCTGTCGGAAAGTAAAGAAACGTTATATCCGTTATTGAACCTCGCAGATAAGAACGACCGATCGATTGACATTTTCTCGACAATCACGAGGCTACCATTAGATTTGATCTCGCGTTCTCAGCTAAGTTTCTTTCTAGCAGAACGAAGAACCGCTTCGGTAATTTTGGGTAACCACGAAATCAATTTAGCGAAGAATCTATCTTCTGGAGCGTCTAACGTCAGAACTTCCCCCGATATCGCCATGGTCGAGAACCATCGCCACGCGCAAGTCCGATCCGACACTTCGACGAAACATACACAAGTCGCACCCGGCCTCGAGGAGATTTGCCTCGAAGAAGTCACGCGGACCGTCTTACCTAGTTAGATCTGTGTGTGAAAAGTCTACATGTACGTCTCTACGTATCAACTATCACTGAGTCGCGCTGTCGCCGCCGCCGTCGTCGCTGCCGCCATCGTCATCGTCGCGATCGTCGTCGGAGACCCCTGACCGCGTCGACTACGATCAGCTGTCGTCCGGCGTGTCCTGGTACTCCTCGCTTTCTCTGTGCACCAGCACATGCACCACCGTCGCTTCCGACTGCTGCCTGAGCAGCGGCGGCCTCGAGGGTGGCGCGGTGTTCTCCGGGCTCGGCTCCGTTACCAGGATGCTTACGTCACTACCCTCGACCGGCAGCTGCACTGGCTCCGGCGCTGGCGCCCGTCGTCTCAGGCTGCCGCAGCGCCGGTTAAACGCCTCCTTGATGTCCCGTTGCAGCGTGTTGAGCGAGAGCGTGGTGCCGCTCGACCTCAAGGAGCCACGCTTCGAGATCGGCGGACTGACCACGTCCTCCTCCGGGTACTTCTCCACTGCGTCCTGCCGACCCAGGGTAGGACCAAGTGACCTGTGGACAAGAGGACGACGTGGTTCGATTTACTTCGTGCATGACAACAGTACGTCGGATGATCCTGGCTGCGAACCCGATTCGCTCCAAAGGTCAACGGATGAGACGTTAGGAATAATGTGGCTGAAAATACGCGGCTTCAAGTACCGCTTACGGTACTTTCACCGGAGGCTCTCTTCTGGTTTTTCTGCATTCTGTCTGTGTATTTTGTTTCTTTTCTTTTCTCTCCTTCGTGAAGGGATATACGCTATGAACCATAAATGAACCAGCGATAATATACTTTCTGCAGTGAAACGAACACAATTTGTCGAGATTTACTTGCGTTTGCACGACACATCGCCCAAATGATTACAGATACGATTCACAGCATGCGAGAGTTCGGAGTCACGTGTTCCGTGTCGAGAAGTTCACTCTTACTGAAAGCTAGCTAGTTTGAAGCATGACACGATGCTGACAAAATCACGCTAGTGATATCTAAATGTCATGAGATGCGTATCAAGGAATCGTTATAATCAATGTATAATAACAACAACACCAACTCTTTTACTCAACTACGTTCAACTATGAACCGATAAGCGACATAATGAATCGTCAAAACGGTATAAATTATGCGTAACAGGTCTACTAGCTGTGTTACTCTCTAATCCGCGCTAACTTATTCACTAGTCCACTAATCTGGTTATGTGTTCGAATGTATTCCTCGTTGGCAAATGTACACAATACTTCAACTGCTAATTGATATATTCGAGTCGGCTTCGTCTAGCAATACAAAGAACTGAACGATAAAATTCGAAGAAGTCTAGATACATGTTCAGGTTTACCTGTTCGTTTTCTTGCCTGAGGAGTTTTGAAAGAAGAAGAAACTAGATTAATTTGTGTATACACATGGTGTGCGTGGCGTGGTGTGTAAGAGTCAATTGTACTATAACGACATACATCGCATATCTCTCGTTAACACGTTCGCGTTAATATATGCAAACTCCTCAGGCCGATACGATCGTGCGTATTTCATTCTCTAAGTGTAATCGCTCTTAAGTCTCGATAAATCCGTATTTTCGAATGCCAAGTCGAATGACACTTCATTAAGCTTGTAATGTGTTTTTTTTTCATGTCAATTTGCATACAACGCATCCAACCCATGTCGTTTAACAGGGATTTTCATAGCCGACAGCTGCATCGATCTCTTCGGAATGATCGAAATAGTTGTGTTCAGCAGAACGAAGCGCGCTCAGTAATTAGCGCGCTTCGTTCTGACTAAAGTAAAGTTTTAGATTCTGGCCAGGTGTACATATCAACGTTGTTGAACGCAACCAGGGGATTCTATCGTATTGCTGCGACACAGAAATGAGAGAAAGAGACGGAGAATGCACCAACCTGACAGTGGCGTGGGAGTCCGAGCCGGAGCTGGAAGCGGCGGAGGGCTGTTCGGTGGTCGGCGAGGGACGGGATACGGTCAGAGCCGGAGGTTGCAGGTCCTCGTGGGTTCCGGTGGCGCCGGAGAGCAATAGCAGAGGAAGATTAGGAAACAGCCACGCCGAGGCAGTTCCGAGTTCGCTAAGGTCGCTGGCGTCGCTGGCCCTGGAGGACTTGCGGCTACTTGCCCGGCTACCCCGATGCACATGCAGAAGGGCCGACAGCTTACCGCCCCATCCACTCCCGCCCCTACCGTCCATGCCACCCGGACTCGAGGTCTGCGTCTGAGAGTCCACTTCCTGAGCGATTCTCTCACGCTCCCTCTTCATCCTGTGTGAATAAATTATTATGTGTGAAACGTTATTTCGTATCTTTACTATCTATACATGCATGATTTTCCATTCAAAAACTATTACATAACACACGTGTTATATTACATTTATATTGTTGAGTGGGAAATTATAACATTGATATTATGTTACTGATAATTACTGATAATTACTGATAATTACTGATAGTGTTTACGGAGTTATGATTATATCTGTTTTGATACGTATTATTATCGATAATCGAATAATAACTGTTTCTCTTTATATATTAGGGTTTGCAAAAAAATATTGATCACATCGTTACTTACGCAATGAACTCTCTTATAGAATGTTGAATCAACTTGGCAGCTTTGTCTTGCCGTTTCCAGATTCTCGTGGAAGACACTATCTCCAATTCTTTCCTAGTCGGAAACTGTTTCTTGAACTTGACGTCCATCTGCTCCTGTAGCTTTCTGAAGTCATCCGATTCCTCGACGTGCCCGAGAACGTGCTTGACGAGTGCGTGCAGGATGTCCAGACAATGAATCTTGTTACCCTTTGCGATGGGAAGATTAAAGCTCACCAACGCTACCACGTTGGGCTTTGATATCCCCAGCGGCGGGTCCAGGCTCGCTATAAAGTCGCTCAGCTGAGAGAAGCTGATAAATTGAGTTGCGTGTGGATCGTACCTGTAGGATAAGAATATCGATTTCAAATCATGATCAGACATCTTATTTCTTTCTTTTTTCTTTTGTGCGCGGAAAAAAGATTTGCTAATATATGGACAAGTAAAAATGTTAACTACAGGAGCAAATTTTCTTGTTTTCATAGCAAAGTTATTTAGTTGTGACAGCTAAATAACTTTGCTATGAAAGCAAGAAAATTTGCTCCTGCAGTTAACATTTTTAGTTGTTCATATATTAGCAAATCTTTTTTTCCGTGTGCCACGGCACAAATTATTTCTTTTTCGCGAGGAAAAAAATAGTAAAAGGGAAACAAAATATCTTACTTCGACCATCGGATGTAAAACATCTCCAAGTCATCCTCGACGATGCCAATCTCCTCCTCCTGATGAGCTTGATTGAAATTCTCCAAAATGATGGCGATATACATATTAATGACTATCATGTAGCTGATGATAATGAATGAGGTGAAGTACGTAATCGCCAGCAAAGGATATCCACAATCTCCGTTCATCTGTCGGCTGTTCGGAGTGGGGTCGCATTCGGGCGGTTGCACCATCAGCGATTCCAATACGTCGTTCCACCCAGCCGAGGTCATCAAACGGAACAACAGCTGCATACTTCTACCAAAGGTTTCGAAATTCACCTGAAAGGTATTTCAACTTTAACGAGACGCATACTGTCACATTGAAGTATCGATTTACGTAAAACATTTGTTCACACTTAATCTTTTAATAATTATATCGTCTTAATGATAGCGCTCTGTGATTCTCTGAGCTTACCATATCGTCCAATGCGCCTTGTTTCCTGACGTGTCCGAAAACGGACATGCCGATGATGGCGTAGATGAACGTGATCAGGGCCAGCAGGGCCCCGATGTTAAAGAGTGCTGGAAGACTGACGACAAGGGCGAAGAGCAGCTTGCGGATACCTTTTGCAGCCTTAATGAGCCTCAAGATTCTACCGATTCTGAACACCCTCACGACTCGCAAGAGCGTCGGGGACACAGGGAAATCGATCATGATGTCCTCCATCAGTATGCCCAGGATGGATGCCACTACCAGTAGGAAGTCGAACAGGTTCCACGGTACAGTGAAGTAGTGATAACGCAGACCTATTATTTTGACGATCGCCTCCAGGCCGAAGACGGTCGTGAAAAACGCGTTCGACACTTCGAGGACGAAGAAGATGGGATGAGGCTGATTATAGTGCTCGATTCCCATCGTCAGCATGTTGAGAAATATCAAAACGAAGATAGCTATTTCGAATCTGAAAAGAGCGGACCATTCGTCACACTCGCGCGCCTTGTCGTATTCCTCCCGTCCCAATCGAACAACGATCGCAACTTGTTACTTTCTTTTTGCGACGTGCGAAACAGTAGCATGCATATTTTAACTTGCTGTCGTGCGATAAAGTTGCCGTAAATGGTATCTGTCGGCGAGCGAAGGTTGTTCCTCGCGTTCATTCAGTTTTCATATTTTTGCACGAATTACGACGGATCTTCCGTATATAATTCAAATTTATGCACGATATACGATGAAAAATGCGGTGTACATCGGTAGTAAAGATAAAAAAAGGATAAAAAAAGCTCTACAGCGAGACAAGGATAGCGTTAGGTGTATCTCAGCGGTAGCGAAAGTATACGACGGCGTATTCGCAAACGCGCAATTGCAAATTCGCCGGGGAAGTTTCGTTAACGCGGTTCACGAGCGCGTTTGAGGAGCGCGTTTGAGGAGCGCGTTTATAATTCTAGCATACTCTAGCTAGCGTTCTCGGATGCTTAGTTAACACTACGTCTTGCCGTATAAATTTTACGAGAAGTTCGCGTCTAATATCCAATGTGTAGAATCGTAAAGTTACTACGTTTGCGTAAGCTCTCAGGCCGCAGCTTATCTCGTCTATTATGTACAGTTGTATCACTAGGTGCAGCGACATTGCAGGGACAATTTAGAAGCGGCGAGCGCGTAAATGTCCTTTGGCTATCGATTCTCCATTATTCTAGGTAACGGATTGTAGAATCGCGACATTTATCTTCTCTGTGGTCTTGCCTCTTCCCGGAAGCTGAAAAGAAAATTCACGTATTGTGCGTTATGTACGATTTGTATACGTGCTGCAATACATTACGCGGGACAGGGGTTGCGCGAAAAAGTTTTAGCGCTCGTAAAAACGAATATTCCGTGTTATCATCGCGAGCAATATGCGCGCGAACTAGCAGACGAATCAGTATTGAAATCGGTAACATAGAACGGAGAAGTCGAAGAGGAAGGGCGCACAGCTCTTTGAGATGATCTATGCAACTGTTACTTGCCTTAAAGTTATACTATTTAGTTAAACTATTAGTTAAACTATTTAGTTATACTATTTAATAATAACAACATTTTTATATTATTAATGCAGCGTAATGCAGTAAGAGTGTGAAGTAAGAATCAGTGAATCTATATGATTGGAATTTTATGGGCGATAACGGCATAACGATGAAAGACATTCGAAAAGTTCACAAGATAATTGAGTAAAAGAATTGCTTGTCAAAAGGCGATGTGTATAATAATGTATTTCTGTTTCTAATAGTAGATAAGTATATTTTTCCTTACCTCGGGTTTGCTCTGAAGTTGTCTTTCCATCGTTGATAAATGTCGAGCACGTTGGCGTTGAAGATAACAATAATTTTTGTAAATCGCTCAGAGACGTAAAGGAATATCCCGATAGCGGTAAACTGTGAATATCTTCTCTCGGTCTTCTTATTTCTCCTTAGTGTGTCCCCATGACGAGCGTCGGTGGACGATAACACAATTCAGACAATCTTCGAGTTCTTAGGACCTACCTACGCGACTCTAATCGAAAATCTCAACAAGAAACATCGATGCAATTCCTGTGCAGCACACTCTTAAGTGTGTCGGCGTGAGCAATGAGGAGATGCCAACACTATATAAGTGTTGAGATTACTTTGTCAATAACAATTTGCAGCACAGACAACTCTGACTTATTAAATCGCCAACTTCCGTAAATCACCGCAGCGTAAGTTACCAAGACAGCTGGTAAAAATAGACATAAAAGTAGACTAGGCAAAAAAAGTAGACCAGGCAGGTCGTCGAATTTTAACATTTGAGATTATTGGCATTGCTGATTATAATATTTAGGTGCACATTTAAGGATTACGTGCTCTCGGAAGCGCGAATAAATGATGAACTATTTCTCATTTAATTTGGAATGGCGCCTACTTCGACGGGATTCGGGGAGTCAGTGAGGCGTCTCTATATACATATCGACGTATATGTGCGTACATACAGATTACATTGCAACTGCTACGGCTCGTATTCGCGGTATTAGCGATTTAACGCGAAATGCCTGTGATTTGCAGCGAGATCTTGCATCTGCCACACTGCTCGCGCTGCATCGCACTCGAGCGCGTGCTGCACAGCCCGACCGCCACACACCGAACTCGCATGATACCGTTTACGTCACTTTGACCGCACCATTTCTACGCTTTTCTTTTTACGTCACACTGTAGCAAACAATCGGCAAACACAGTGATTTGGATTGCATTCGAAGAAGCCAGGTTAACACTTTGACACCGAGTAAATCTGTCTTAGAAAATTAGGCTCGTGATGTTCGATACGTAATAAAAGAGATTCGTAAGCAAGGCATTAATATTGCGCGTGAAATTCTTAACTCATATGTAAAATAGAAATATATATAATTTTATAAATCAATTTCGCGAAAGATGAGAGACTGAGAATTTGTGTTGAGTAGATAAGAATATTTGGAGATAAAAGTAGCGCTTGAAACGAGCACCGAAAAGTATGAGAGAGTATAAGAAAAATAATAAGATGATAATATTCTGAGAAGAAAGGAGAAAAAATGTCTCAAATAGCATTTATGAAAAGTAAAAATATACGCGAAAAGTATAATAAAAATAAAACAAAATTCCTTACATTACTTTACATGTAAAGTTATTTTTCGCTAAATATGCGAAGTTTAAGTGAAAAATGAAGAAGATTGTGATCTTAACTGTTATTGTAAAAAAGAAACTCGGGCGTCAAAGTGTTATTGAAACAAAATTTTTTGCTCGCAGCCAGTGTTTTTCACTACAAAGCAATATATAATTACCTGCGAGAATTGGACAGGTCGTAGAACATTGCGAGGAATTGGTTCATCGGACGTTTTATTACTTTTTGCGGCTTTTTACGGCCTAGTTTTTTCATGGCAGTGTAGTAGTGTTTTTGACTCTCGGTCAAAAACATTTCTAACACTCCACCTTCGTACTGAAAAAAAAGATTGTCCCTTCATTATAATACAAGCTAAATCGTTCGAATTTTACGAGAATCAACACGCACCACCAACGCATATGCTTTAATATCGCATTGAAATGTTCGTTATTGCATAAAACATAGTTATTCTTGTCTACTGAAACAGTGGACCAGAAGATATTCTCCACGTGACAAGAAAGATATGACTCAAGGATATCTCAAGGATTAAGATCTCGAACGGACGGTCGTCGCGGCGCTCACCTTTTTCTTCAGCATGTTAAAGTTGTCTATGATCACTCCGATAAAGAGATTGAGCGTGAAGAATGAGCCACAGACGATGAAGATGACAAAATAAAGGTAAGCGTATAGATTCGCCTCCCTCTGTGGTTGCAGATCCACACCTCTCGCGTCGACAGCATCTTCCATCACTTCCATCCATCCCTCGAAGGTCGCCACTTGAAACAAGGCCAAGTAAGCGATGCCGACGTGGTCGAAAGTGATCTTGCTGTTCTCCCAAGAGTAGTTTTTGCTGAAACACTCTTCTTTCGTATTCACTATCTGAAATCGAAACCAAAATGCCTCCTTAATGCCTCCAAAATGCGTCATTATAGTAACAGGCAATTAACTGTCATAATTAATGATAGATTGTATCACATGAATGGTGCTGTTCTTCTGATTCGACTATTCTCGTCAAATATTAAGATTATTACCAAATATTAAGATTATTAGAACCAATGATTTGTATTTTGTCAATACAACGTGATATAATATATTTATTTCGATATGATTAACATTTCGCAATTTAATATCGTTAATATATCGAGTTTACTTTAGACTACTTTTCTGATCGGTAAGATCATTAATTAGAGCGGAATGTGACTCACCGAAATATTCAACAGTTCCCCGTACTCATCGACACACTTGAAGAACTTGCCGCCGAAGAATTGGACGCCCATTATTGAAAAAATCAGCCAGAACACGAGACACACGAGGAGCACGTTGAATATACTAGGTATTGCATACATCAACGCGTTCACTACGATCTGCGAGCCGGGAAGAAAAGTCCTCTCAGTGACACGCGCGCACAGGGCGTATTCGCCTGTTATATCCTTCGTGTTTCATACGGGAGTTTGCGAGTATTGTGTACGCGATATTTACCCTCATGCCTTGCCATCTCGAGATCGCCCTCAGTGGTCTCAAGGCGCGTAGCGTTCTCAGCGATCGTAATACCTTGAGGTTCTCATTTTCTTCTATCAAAAGACTAAACATGGATACCTGTTCGGGGAATCACGAGATTTAATCTCGATTGCGATTCATACGAATGTGACGAGGCTTCATGCGACTTTTGTGAAAGTCTAAGTTTCGATACAAGTGATAAAAGCTTAAAGCTGCTTGGAAATTCCGTGGAGATTACGTTGTCTTAAAATTATCTTGTTCATGAGATATCATTAAGTTATCGTGAGATCGTTAGTTATTCCCAAGCAATTCGTCATGAATCACAGAAATTATTAATTTTTCTCGCCGAGATTAGTGATTCACTTAATTAAATATGCACTATTAGCGTGTTATGTGCATAACTTATATTATATGGTGATTGTTACAAGTATTTATAGGTTTCTATCTAATGTAATTGTACAGTGTGTCGTAAACTATTAAATGGCAAAACTCTTATGTTATAGATTGTAAATAATAAATCGTAAAAAGCCGAAACAAGCTACATTGAGCAAAATTAATATTACTCGTGCAGGAAAAGTAGGGTGACTTTTCTTTTAACGTCCCATTTTTGAAGACTCTGGAAGATGCATGGCTCTAGTAATTCTGAATGTCAGAAAAGATCGAATAGATTGTATTTTTGTAAAAAAAATTAGGTCACATTTAGAACCAAAAGGATCGCGTAACTTATTTGATTTAAATTTTCGTTAAGCAGAATTCATCGTATTGCTTTAGCACGTAAAAAGTGTCAATAAAATTTGATTAGCGAAATGTGCAATTCAATCATAAGCAGAGCTTCGTAAATTAAAGAAATACTATATTTATTCTCTTCATATGTGAAGCTAGAGAGTATTCGATATAATAGTTTGTTAGTGAAGATTTCTCTAATGTTTAACTTTAGTTTGTTAGTTATATTCCTCATGCATATATCGACAATTATTGGCGCAAATATATCAGACCATACCATAATCCACATAAATAATTAACATATATGATTAATTATAAATACATAATCCAATATAACAAATGCTTGCGGCGCAGGCTGATGGATATCGTTATAAATAAAAAACGGAAGCGTACTGAGACGTATAACTTTCAACGTACCTGGATCCAGGGGCCACATAAAACACATAAAAAAGGAACACGGAAACAACGTTCAAATAATTACCATATATATCTCGTCCGAAATATAATCTTAATTATTTGATATTTTTGTATATACAGGGCGAACTACCTAGGTTTACGACGTGAAATAATTTTTTCAATTTTTATCGCAAAGAAAATTGAAGAAGCCGCGGCGTTAACACAAATTCGACGAGTTTCATGAATCATTGTGAGGCTTCGAAAAACACTGACATTGATATCGATGATTTTATAAGTCATTCAAGAACATACAATGAGAGGTTCGCGGTTTTTATTAGGGATCGGAAAGTTGCGATAAAATTCGTAACGATTAATCAGGTAGCTTACCCAGTATATAAATACGTAGTATAAGCAAGGGGCATCGGAGGATAAGCAAGGGAATCGACAAACACACAATTCATGCGACAGCGGGACGCACACCCTCGTACACAGTTTTGCACTTTACGTCGGATTGCGCGCGAAATTCTGATCGTACTTACGAAAACGATTATAAAATCCAGGATTGTCCAGAAACTGGTGAAGTATTTACAGAAGCCTAGGGCTAGCCATTTCAGGAGCATCTCGACGCTGAAAAGTGTGCAGAAGCCAAGATTGGTCCAATAGAGAATCTTCTTCAAAAAAGGATTGTCGTCTAAGTAGATGTCCTCGAAGCACAGCGTTATGGAAGATGCGAAAATTAAAACTAAGATCATCCACTCGAAGGCGGGTGTGTCCACCACCGATAGGACGACCGTACGGATTCTTATCCACTTCCTGCCGATGTCCGTGGCGAGGCAACGATTGATACAACTACACCTGTAAACAAACGTGCCCGTTGAGCATCGATTAATTGTCAATTCGCGGGCCAGACAAGCGTCGTCGCCGTGGCCACGTGCTCGCCGCGGCCACTTGCTTGTTCACCTTATTTTAAAAGTGAAAAGCACAGTGCGTCAATGTGACAGCAGGTGACACGCTTAGTCTAGCACTAACGTCGAATCAAAGCCCGACGTTGATTTTAAATGGCTATAACTCGTGAATTAATCGACATAATGAGATGAAACAAAAAGCAATCTCTTTCAGTATTCGCTTGGAAGAGTCATGATCGATTAAAGCGCGGCAAACACGCCTCTTTCATTTGCGATCGAATAGTTCAGATTCTTTACCTCGCTTCGTCTATTGTAACAGTGACTATTTATTAGATTAATCATATGATATTCGTATCTTTTTGTATAGCGCCGGCTAATAAGGAAGAGAATGCGTCTTACTTTTGGTAGCAATGCTGAGGAAAGCAATCTAGCGGCTCTCTGCATTCCTTGTTCCTGCCAAACCCCGGGAACGAGCCCATCCCGTCGATGTATCTTCCTTTACTGTCTCTTCTGCCTCCGACCGTCAATTCGTCCACGTAACTCACGAGAGCATGCCAAGGACGTTTGTCTTTGCGTTCCTCGTTCCGAGCAGGTGGCTTCTCTATCGGCAACATGGCGACTTCTTCGTCCGTCTTGCTGGCATCTTTGAGCACCTCCAGCTCTATACTCTCCTCGGGGTTGGTTTCGTTGTTGTTACCTTTCTCGGTGAGCTTCTTGTTCTCCTGACTGCCGTGGCTGTAGGTGGTCAGCGTGGCCTGACGGTAGATCGGATCATACGTGAACGGCTGATTGAGGCTCTCTTGATACGATCTATTGTAAATATTGTCTTTGGGAAGGCTCAGCACGGTCTCCTGGATCGCGTACTTTTCCTTGTCGGACTTGTCCATTACCTCGCGCACGATCTGCTCCAGCCGTATGTTCTTCTCGTTCTCCGAATTCTCTTTCCGGTGCTTCTGCTTACGCACGATCGATCTGATACGGTCGAACGATCTCGCGAGCTTCGACTCTTCGCCGACCTCCTCCTTCTTCTGCTTCAGCTCTTCGGAATTGAAGCTGTTGAGTAGCAAGGCAAGAAAGAGATTGAGAACCATGAAGTTGCCCATCACCAGCGCCGGCAGGAAGATGGCGAAGCAGGTGCCCGGTCCGTCTTCTTTCTCCGCTCGCATGCAGTCCCACAGCGGCTCGATCCACTCGCCGCACAGAATGCGAAATATCATCATGAACGAATGGAAGAAATCGTTGAAGTTCCAGCGCGGCACCGGGTCCGGGTAGAACTTGTCCAGCGTGTAGTCCTTGCTGAACAGCTGCATGCCGATCACCGCGAATATGTAGATCACGATCACTAGCACGAAGGTCAGATTACCGAGCGCGCCGATCGTCGAGATGATGATGCTGAGCAGGACTTTCATCGTGGTCCAAGACTGTGCCAACTTGAGGACGCGCAGCAGCCTCAGGCCGCGTATTACCGACAGACCGTCCACCAGCTCGAACGTCAAGTCGATGAGTGACGCGGATACGATGATCAGATCAAAGTTGTTCCAGCCGTTGTTGAAGAAGTCCTTGCTCAGCGCCAGGAGCTTCAGGAAGCATTCGAACGTGAAGATGCTAGTGAATACCTTGTTGCCGATGTTGAGCGCCTGTCGTATCGACTCGCTCATGCCGTGATGCTCCATCGCCAGGAAGCCGGTGTTCAGGACGATACAGAGGGTGATCATTAACTCGAACAGGGGATCTCTCACAACCTTGACGCAAATTACCATGTGATTCGTCGATTTTAGTGTCGCAATGGCAAGTTAATATGGCAAAAAAGACTATGAAAATCTTCTTCTAAATTTAGGGGAGCAATTAATGAATTACTGCGAATTGTCGTTTTTAGGAGTTAATCAAAGTAAAGAGGAATATCGTATTGCTTCCCCGGAAATGAACCTTGTGAAAATAAGCTGTTCAGAGAAGCTTGTTTTAATTTTGATCTGCTTTATAAGAAGGCACTGTTAACTCGGGAACAATTACCTTATATAGGCAATTCTGAAATCGTAGCCATCCTTCGTAATCTACGCAGCATTGAATACACCTATCGCAGTTTCTATCTGGAAGATCATCTGCAACCAGAAAACACACATCATGTCGCTCCTAAAGTCTTTGACATTGCGAAAAATCAATTCCGACTCCGCGATCTATGAATTATAACTTGTTAATTTATTTATTACTGCCGTTATTTCAATAAACAAAATGGTTTACGCAACTCAGTCAATCACCGCAATTTCTAGATATGCAACATTGAAACTACTGATAGATTAAACTGTGAATTGCAGTCACGTAAAACGCAATTTCGCTCGATTTTAAGCGAACAATGAACCGTCGCGCTGTCTACGGGCAGTTAACGAAAAACTGACTTCGAATTGATTCGACAGTACGCACGCAAATTCCAATCCGTTAATTCAGTTACGCTGGCTATTGTTTCGACAAAAAAAAAACAATACACCCTCGGTAGCGATTGTATCCCTCCGTAGCGATTCAACGCTCGACATTGAAAATTTCACTTGATTAAACCGCGAATTCCGCTGTTGAAGGAGAAAAGTTAACACCAGCCAGCATTTCGGTCGAGGCAGCGATAAAGTAACTCCCAAAGTGGAACCTAGCAACACCTGAAACGTCGACTCGTTAGACCCTTTGCGGTCCTGTGTCGAGCTTACCTTGACGTCGCGTTTAGTTCTAATCGATTTCACAAGTCAACTGCCAAAAAGTTACATCAGAACCAAATATCAGAGATTGCCGAATTTTTCTTCATTAATATCGAGCCGTGTAACGAGCGATTTCGAATTTTTCGGGTGAAACATAAATACGAAAATACAATCGTTTTATTTTAAAAACTGAAGAACCTAAAATCGGTTATACAACTCGATGATATACTCGATATAAACAGACCTACAAATGTGTTGTTGTATTAGTTAAATATTGAAATATTGAAATAAACTGTACGCGCAAACTACGCGATACTGTCGCGCAGGTAAATGAATTTCCGCGGATCGGTTGTGAGGGAGAGTCGAGACAAATTCGTCGCCACGAAGGTTCCACAGTCTACGACTGATAATATTGTCTCAATAAACAACGCGCACAGCCAATATGGCCGCAGTACACCTGGGTTTACGCTCACCTAAAACTACAATGTGCGACAGGTACTCTGGCGGCAGCGCGTACATATGTTTCTTGGTTTTCACCCCGTTGCACTTGAGCACGCGGATCTCCCGGTTGCCGGTCCTCACTGATACGGTGACCGGCGCCGGCGGGCAGTCCGGACGTGGGACAGCCGCTTGTCCGACCCTGCCGTGCTCCCTCGGGGACTTCTCCTGCCTCTCGGCGCGGTGTTCCCGCGACTCGCGCTTGTCGTGCTCCTCGGCGGACGTGACATCGTCGCCGTCGTGGTCGTCCACCACGCCGGAGTCGTCTAACGACGACTGCTGATTGCTATTGTTGCTGGCCTGTCTGGAGTGCAGCCGGTTCGGCACCAGCCGATGAGGCTCCGGCGGCCTGGGACTAACGTTCTGCAGCGGCAAGTGGGAAGGTCGCACGTTGGAATGCCTCGGACTCGGGCTCGGACTCGGCGTCACCGATCTGCAACCGAATTTCCGTCACGTACGTCGTGATGAATTGAAGGAGAGCAATCTCCCCAGTTATCATGGCAAAGTAAGAAAAAATCTTTCCAATTTGCGGCGACAAGAATTGGTGAGGTGACTTACAGTTGAAGTTAAAAAATAAAAAAAACACGCTACTGTTACTTGAATAATTCGAGTGATGCGTTAATAATTCTCTCTGCCGAGGAAAACCGGGAGTTATTTATTCATTTGCTCGGTGAATAACATATTTAATCGTTGATTATTCAAACCATACGATGTATCTCGAGAACATTTCGCATGTGATAATCTTACGCTTCGTCGATCTATTCGTCCGTATAGTTTTCCGTAAATTATGTAATTAACATTTAATTAAGTTTCCACATGGCGGAAGACGACGTATGCAAATCTTGAATTACTAAACGATGCTGCCTTCAAGTAAATTTGACGTAATGGGACCTCGTGTATCTTGCGTAACAAATTAACAATTAATAGGAGCATTAAGCTAATTAGTCTCGAGATCGCGTGGAGGTTCTGGTTGGTCCGACGCGAAATCAATGCTTACGATAATGAGCAACATTAACCCTGGGAATACCAGGCGCTTCCTGATTTCATCTAGCCAAGTCATTCTAACTCGTAGATATCGTAGAGCTTGCTTACCGCTTCGAGAACTCTTTTCTCTATTTGTTATTAACAATATTTTTAGTTTTATGTATCGTTTCGTTATTATCGTTATTATTGGTTCTACCAATTACAAATGCCGGGGCAATGGAAATATCCAAGCATCTGTTTAATTCTTATACAGTCCTTACATAATAATAAAATAACAGTGATAATAATAATAACGAGAACTGTAATTGTATTTTACAAAATTGCTGCCGCGGCATTATGATGGCCTTTTAGATTGTAAGAATTAAATCGATGATTTAATCGTACGGAAGGGAGAGGCAAATTTTGGCGAGTGAGTTTCGCACACGCTGCGGAACAGTCGATTGCAAATCGGTCAGTGTATTTGTAGATGAAAGCACCGGCGATAGTTTCCAAGATATACCTCGTACAAAGTCCGTTGGAGATTCGCGTTCCGCACTACGCGGCTCTCCATTGTAAGATTGCGAGGTGGGCTCGTTTCCTTTCCTCGCTTTTATTACTACACGGTTGCTCGGGAATGGGGACGTTTATGATGTTTCTTTCTGTCTTTCCGGAAGCAACCCGCTGCAGTTTAACGATTTCGCAGCAAGCTGCATACACGGCGCGAGAAATATCCCGGCGGCTCTCTGAGTGTGAGATGAATAAACGCACGAAAGCGCCGAATAATTTTAGCGCGAAGGTGCTGATAAGATTAAAGTCGCTCTCGTGTGGCATTTGCTGCAACTTTTTACTCACGGCAGCGAATGATTTTTTAACTTAGTCGAGGAATATACTTTAATATCTTCGTCCGTAAGCGATTCTTCTGAAGCGAATTCTTTCTCTAAGAAAAAGAAAAAAAGGAAAGGGAGAGAGCCTTTTTCTTCGTATAACTCGCACGATTCAACTTGCTCGTTATTCGACCTGGAATACGGCTCGCGTAACGAGTCGCGCGACTCTACTTCCTCTTTGGGAAACCAAACGCTCTAGCTGCTGACACGAACACCCAGCCGCGATATATTTAGTTATGTTATTCGCGTAGCGCTTTCTTGGTTAAACAAGAGTAAAAGCTCGACGAGCTCCGCTCGTGTGACCCAGAAACTCCGGCGTGAGTACGACTAGCGCGATTCGCGACAATGGTCGTGACAAATGGAGCCCGCGGAAGAGTCGGTCGTAAATACAGATATAGAAACCTGCTGCGTGCACCACCGTTTTTCTCTTGACCGGCGCTGCTCCTCCCGCGCTTTCTCCGACGCGTCTTTTTCCTCGTGTAACTGCTGAGCAGCACTCCTTTACGGGCGTCTATCCTCTTCTGTTTGTCCTTCGTCAGAGTCTTGATATTGATCTTCGACGGGTCAAAACTAAATGTCGAATCCTCGCGATGGTCCGTTAAGTCTTTCCGCCGTTCCTGCAGTTACATACACACACGAAAAGAATGCGGACAGTGTTGCAAAACAAGCATCGAGGATGGTTCCGATTAGATTGAGGGACGAATTATAAATCATCCCCGACGGAGGTGGAAAATATTTACTCTTTTTCTTTTCGAACTCACACTTGCGGGAAGAATCGATAAGCCGGGACTAAATCTCTTACACACTGAGAAAAAAATGTACTAAATTTCAAAAAACGTTTGTTTGGATAGTTCTGTTAAGATATTTATTTAAATTAAGTAATTATTCTCTAAAATTAAAGAAACAAATTTATATTTAAAACTTCTTTATTTAATTTTAGAAAATAATTATTTAATTTAAACAAATATCTTCACAGTACTATCCAAACGTTTTTTGAAATTTTGTAAATTTTTTCTCAGTGCAGTCGGAGGCACCCCATTTTTTTATAGGTAGTCAAAGAGAAAATGGCGACTATGTGTTAGATTAGATTTTTCATCGTGAAGTATGTTTCGTGTGAAAATGAATTTGAGGAAGAGAAAGAAATGGGAGTTACTTCTAGTTCAAGGCGATAGCTTTGAAGTAACACTAGATATGTGTGCATATGTGTGTGTGTGTGTGTTGGTGAAATTTAAAGCAAGCAATACCTCATTCGTGATCTCGGCCTCTTCTTCATAACTCAACGCCACGACGGCCAGCATTAAGTTCAGCAGGTAGAATGATCCGAAGAATACGACCACCGTGAAGAATGAGACGCTAATAGGTCCGCATGCCGACAACACCTGTTCCGTGAAAGCTTATTTGTCATTTCTACCGATGCATTCGTTGACATTAACACTTCAAGTAGAAAAGCTTTCAAGAGGAACTGGCCACTAATCAGTAAAAGCTGATTAGTTTTTATTAGCTAGGATTTATTAGACAGCTATTCAACTATTCAAAGATATTCAGCTTTTCAATTATTCAAAGACTGGACAAAAAAATACTGGCCCCCTAATTTCTTGACTCCCTAATTAGTGGCCAGAAACTAGGCAGTAAAAAATGGTTAATAAATACTGGGTAGTTTTTCTGTCTAGTAAAAATTCAGGAAATGTTTCTTGGTTAATTATTCGTCAAAAACTAGACAAGAAAAAGTGTTGATTAAAAATAAAGCTACAATCATTTCAATAACAAATGAATTTGTGTATGCATGTGTAAAGACTCTACTCTCTGAAATACGTTATTCTTTTATATTAAATAATAAAATATAACATTTTACAATGTAGAAAATCAAATGAGCTATTTAGTAGAATTTTGTATAAAAAAAGGTTTAGTTAGAAATTTGTTAGAAGAAATTTGTTTGACCAGAAATTGATCAGTTTTACTAATCAATTTCTGATTAACTAATAGTTACCGGCGAAGCGAGCATCACTTAAACTAGCTAAAAATTTCTGGTCACTTATTGACTAAAGTTGCATTTCAAAACATCCTTTTTGAAATTTTCGATATTCTGTAGTAAAATATATTCTATAGTATAGTATGTAACGTGAACTATAGATATTGAGTAAAAGTTTCTTTAAAAAGGACGTTTTGGAATGCAATCTAGAAAGAGATCGCTCTTTCTATTTGAAATGTAATACGATAACAAATGCATCGTTGATAACTTCTCTTCCACGATTTTATCCGATACAACGCACTTATTCGATAATTATCGTCGTTAAAGCTACTTCTTTGAACAATTTCTCGTTGAACGCAAGAGAAGTCAACGTGATGAAAATTCACTTGAGAAAGTTTCCTTCGGGAAGAAACACTTGATAGTCTGAGAAATGCATCGAGGAGGAAAATCTCATGCTACGAGAAAGTACGCGAAACTATGTGCTACAATCTATATTGACATTGTGAGAGCGGAATAAAGATTCGAGAAATTTTTTAGATTAGCCGAGCGGCCCACCGACCTTGTTGTAGACGTCTTCCCAATAATCCAGGGTAATCAGCTGAAAGGTGGTGAGCATTGACCACAGGAAATTATCGAAGTTGGTATAACCGTGGTTTGGATTAGGGCCAACGCAGAGGCAAGTGTAGCTCTCGTTGCAGTGCCTGGAAAATATAGGTGAGACCTATATTGCCGACATTGCGATCCATATCCATGATAACCGTGAGAACGCTCTGAAGTGTCCGTAGTATGATCAAGTGCGGAAATATCACTGGCTGCGCCTTCACCGCGTCGGCCTTCTTCGCGCTAATCGGTCCGGCCATCGATTACCCTGTCACCCCTTGGTCGAAAATAACGTTTCCTCGTGTTATTAAAAGATACGGACGGTATTAATGAAATCTGCATGTTACGAGACGTTCGAGGCGTCGAATAATAGCTGCGGGATATTTGCGCCGCGTGCGAAGAATTTTTCTTAAAAAGCCGCACAGAGAAGAGGTCTATTGTCCTTTTCAGGACAAATTTGCATTTTTGCATTTTTGCAGCGTGATATGCATTTGCCATTGGATGTAAAATACAGCGATGATTTCGCCGTCGAGTGGAACACTTCGGAGCCGTCCGCTTCACGCTTTCATCGTTAATCCTTACAGTCTCCGGGCGGTTTCTCGGGCGACTTTTACAGTCTTTGAACTGGAACTTTTTCGTGTATATCAAAAGGAAGTAGATTGGTAAGAAATATGAGACCTACTGTAGCGGTTTCCCGAATCGTACGGTAACTTTTCTCTCAAATTGATTTTTTTCTTCTTATTCAATATCGTAAATAAATCTTAAAAGTCACGGAAAGATATCAATTTATGACAGAGAAATATTGTGCAAAAATATATGATATGAAAATAAAAGAAGTTATAAAACAAAATATTAATTATGATCTAAAAAATTTAAAATAAATTTAGAAGTCTATTATATATTATTATTAGTAAAATATTTATTATTATTATTAGTAAAATAGTCTATTATTATTATTATTAGTAAAATATAAAAAATTTGAATAACATAAATATATTTGTATAGTTATTTATTTTTTTGAACTTCTCATTAAAAAAAAAAAATTTTTTGAATTTTTATATTTTTTAGTTTTTTTTCCACTAGTTTGTGTAAAAAAGCTGGATAATAATGAAAAAATAAGAATAAGAAGAAGAATCGTAGAATTACTGTGTCTCGTAAAATTACTGTCGCGCCGCTATGGCTTCCCTGGACTATAAGGGTTAAAACACGAGTTTTGCGAAAGAAGCCCAGTTTCGAGAGGGCCAAAACGATGCATCGCGGCGAAGGCGTAATATTTCCATGCGCTTCAATCGACGTGGGTTTCATGGCACGGCGGGGAAGTGCCTCATCGAAAGTGCAAAGAAACAACCGTCAGCTTCGGACGTATTGATCGAATAAAAAGCCTACTTTCCGCGAGACACTGCGCCCCGATACCGAAAGAGTGCCGTAAAGTTCGTGCGCCACGTAACGCAGTAAAGCTTTTGCAAACTTATTTATACCGGCCGCGGTGCGAATTCCGTCGTACGTGCGGCCGACGCAATCATTTGGGAAATGGACGCGCCCCGAAAACCGATAAATATGGAGAGATACGCCCGTACACGTATCCGCCAAAGTGTATAGTATAAAACCGCGGACAAACGATACCGTCGGGGTGTACTCGCGCGATTAAGTACAACCGGATATCATAATGGTAGTCGTCCCCATCACAAGGAGATCGGATTGATGAAAAAGAAGAAGATATATAACCGCGCGATTGCACGGCGGTAACGTTGCAGCCGCGACAATTTTCCTATAATCGCCGGTAATCACAATAACGTAATTTGCGTTTGAGCGTAACGCGAGGGAACGAGTGTGACGTTTTGCATTTCTCCGCCTGGAGCATCATAAATCGCCGATGTGTACCATCGTGTCGTGAGTACACCTCGTAGCATGCGGGAGGTTGTAACCGTTAAAGGGAAGCATCAGTTTTGTTGCAGACGATATCGAGGCGGACTTGAGGGACTCGCGCCATTTTCCGTTTCCACGGCCGCAGATGCAGCTGGAAAGTTTCGCAATTTCCACCGTGTGCTCCTTCACATTTCTGTCGGTTGAATTTCATCCGCCTTTCGCACTTTTGCGAATTTCAATTATGTCTCTCTCGCAGGCGAAGAAAATTAAAGAATTTCTGCGGTTCTCACAGAAGCCGCGGTGTTCGCCTCGCGGGCACTTCGTCTCGCTTCGGATACACTTTCACGTGGCACGAAATGAAATTTCCGCTTGGCACGTCAAAGATCCGTGGATTTCTCAGCTATCGGAAAGCGGACGTGACGTTGAGAAGTTCGGCAAGTTTCCGTTACTACGGCTGACATATCGTCACGGGTATCGCGCAAACTCTCCCCATCTTTCTCGCTTCTTTCGCAACTCCCTCGCGAATCGAGTGGCACTCGTTGCCGAGATGTTGATGCGAGGTAACCGGCCTCTCCACGTCTCGAATTAGCTTATCTAGAGTGGGATCGGCCAAAGGGTAAGCAGAGAAACACCAACCTGGCGCCGGTTACATTGCCGCAGATGATTGGCTCTTCGTCCTCGTTGAACGCCCAATTGGATGAGTTCCAAGTCCACCTGTTGGCGACACGAAATTTCGTTAGTTTTCTTACCAGCTCCGGCCCCGTGAATCTCCGGAGATTTAAAGCGAGAGAACTACACAATCGTCTCTTTTCTCATTCTCCGCGCGTGCGTGTGTGTGTGTATGTGTATGTGTGCGTATATGTACACGTATTCTCGCGGGTCAATCAATTTATCAAATCAATTTTCTCGGCAGTTTGCTGACGTTCAATACAGCGCAAATAAATCAAATCGACTTTCAGCAATATCCGACAAAGAGCGTGACAATGTAGGTGGTGTTTAATGTAACGTGTAAAAAATTTCATCGCGAGTCGATGTTGTATTTGCACAACACACTTTCTAACAGCTATATTAATAGTCGTTACTTAAGAGAGATTGATCTCACACGAAACAATCAGATTTTTATTCAGTACTATATCCAAGTTTTTCAGCTGAATTACATATTATTTGTAACGTTATGTCTGTAATTGCGACTCAACTGAAAAACTCTCATCTAACTCTGAATTCAAATCTGAGTGTCTCAATTGAGAGGAGTTTCATGTAACGACTATTAATACGGACCAAGTCACACTGTTGAAACTTGGATGACATTGCGTTTCCCCTTTTATCTTTGTTGGTGTCAATTTGAAAATTTAGTCTCTATCAGAGAGTTGTCCTCAAATATTGACGACGTTATTAATGAGTCGCGAAATATCGCATTGGAAACACCGTGTTAGAGAATTATCCGTTTGGTCGCATAATAATCCCAATTACCGTATCATTGTGAATTGTTCTTAAACTCCAATTTGCGTCAACAATGATATTAATATACACACACACATATATACACATATATACACATATATACACAGGCCACACACATATATACGCACATAATGCTCTAAAATAATGACGTTATTCCGATCATTAACGAGAGATTATCGTATATTCGTGTCGTCAGCTGATGCTGAATAAAGCTGATTTTCCAATTCCGTTTAATGCCGCTCGCGCTTGACGCCAAATGCTAATACCCGATTACATGTATGATGAAGATCATGCTCCGCGGCATTAAGAGATGGAAATCGTAACGCTGCCGTCGCGCGTTTGGCATTAAATTAACGCGGCGAGAATATACGCATTATCTTTCATGCGTGCTTTTGCCCACTTCACAATGTTCCCTGCTCGCTGTGACGAGCAGCGAAATCACCGTAATAGCAATATGAAACCACGACAGGAATACAACGCGCAGCCATTAGACCATTCAGATTTATCCGATGCGAAATGGCAGTCCCACCGAGTCGAGCGAGTAAACTGCCGCATTGTGTTCCATCGTCATTTGCTGATGTAGGCGAAGTCACATTGTAAAGGCAAATTTATCTCTCAAAAGAAGAGAGAAAAAAGAAAAAGAAACTCGTTCAAGTCTCAATTTTGTTCATTTTTTTCGTCAATTGATTAATCTACTCTCATTGTTGTTTGCTGTAAGGAACGATTGGGGATTCATTTGAGTCGATTCTTGTTTGAAATAAATGCCCACTCGATTTTCGAGTAAATTTTTCTTCACGGTGAAACTATTCACGAAGATTCTTAAATGACGTTAAGAGCTAGCTTGTGTTACTTCCACAAAGACAAATTTATTTTTCAAGAAATGGAAATTAAAAAGACAGAAAAAAAGAAAAAAGCTCGCTCAAGTTTTACGCATTTTAGTTCGTTCATTTTTCGGATTGATTAATTTTTTTCATCATTAAGTACTTTCTGCGAGGAACGAATGAAGATTAATTTGAGTCAATTTTCGCCTGAGATAAATTTGATTTTAAATTTTCAATCACAATGAAACCTTTTGCGAAGACTCTCAGACGACGCTAGACGCTAACCTTGTATCGCTTCCACGAAGGCAATAACTGGCTCTTAATGTGAGTCCATAATATACAGTTTCCGATTGAGAGAAGATTGAGCTATGTCCTTGTCATTTCCCAACCACCCTGCTTCCTATCCACGGACCCGAGTCCATAAATAATGCAATGTCACCCCCTTTTTGCTACGCGACCGTCCGGATTCCGCGTTCTTTTTTCGCTTTTTTCCCGGCACCGTGTGTCCTCATGAATCACCGTGCGCACTCGGCTCTCGAAAAGAGTAAAGGAGAAAAACAACAACAACAGATCCTGCCGGTGTTTCTCGTGAGTGGCTTCGTGCCTCGGTGCGCTCTCCGACGCGAAGCGCGGCGTAACGCGGTGCTGGTGCATCGATGCGTCTCCCTCGAGGGTGGCGCGTCGGATCGCAATCCGCTGGGACGCGCGGCGTGCCGGCAAGTAGATGCGGATCGATGCTGTCGGACAGTAGAAGCGCGGACAATGAGATCCGTCGGCGGATAGTTCTCTAAGCACGCGGTGAGCGGCCCGTTTGGCATCGCGACCGGAAGCCAGATAGCGATGCTCGTAAACGCGCGCCTAACGGAGGCCGCCGAGAAGGAAGCGGAAACGAATGCTCGTAGGGGCGCGATGCCTGCGAGCAAGCGTTCGCCCCGCGCCCCCGTGCCAACCGTGTCGTCGATTACGGCCGAAGTACGGTGACGATTAAGCAGCACTTTAAACGTCCGCGTGCGGTTCACATATCCGCGCCGATGCACAGCTGACACGCTCGGCTGTCGATCATCCGAAACGCTACCTTTTAGCCAGCGCTGAGGAAAAAGTGTCTGGTACTTGACACTGTGTAATCACATAGTAAAGCAATCACGATCAGGAGAACCATTTTTGTGCAGTACATGTTACGATAGTGTCAGCGATAATAGCCTTGCACGTGTTATTATTCCTGCTAGTTTTTTGTTACAACAACAAGAAGATACATGGAGAAAAATACCACTTTACTGCTCGGCAAAGAGATTACTCAGTTCACTTTCTGTCTCTTTTGAATAATGGTTCTCTTCTATAAAGAGTATTCTCTTGATAATAGCCTTATAATATGCTCATCATAAATCTTAGAAAAGCTCATTGTCATAAACTCGAGAAAGGAGAATTTATTTTCCTTGCAAGAATATTATAAAATGTTATCAAAGAAAACATTGGCTCGACTTTACATAGTAAATGAATCAAATTTTTGTTTCAATTTAATGTTTTTTATTGTTTAAATTTTGTTTAAATTTAAATTTAATTTAATTTCTGACTGAAATGCTAAACTCGTTAGAATTCAGACGGTATTTTAAGTGAATCCGCTGCTTAGGATGAATTTATGATATATATATATATATATATATATATATATATATATATATATATATATATATATACAGGGTGTAAAAAAATTAGACCGACAAACTTTCTGTTTCAATAGACACCTATTGAAACAGAAGCAGCATTGGTAGCCCGAATTATTGCTGCAGCATATCAGGTTCAGAATATTTCTGCAGTCTTCGAGCGTATAAGACAATCGATGTTTCGACGATGTCATCTTTGCGTTGAAGCAAATGGAGGAATTTTTTAACATTTATTATAAATTGAGCTAATCAATTGCGCATTTTTGTTCCGTTCTTTTGTTCATTGTTTTTTGAAGATTAAAATATATATGTGTAATTGAAATAAATTTAATTTTTTCACTTATATGTTTGTTTTTTGTTAAAATCATAAAATTCCTATTTTGTACCCTGTAGTATTAAAACGAAGCGTCGTAGAGAAAAACATCATTAACAAAATATGTTTGTTTTAATGTCCTCTATTTCCCTTTAAAGTTTGTCGGTCTAATTTTTTTACACACTGTATATATATATATATACATATATATATATATATATATTTAAAACACAAGTAACATTTTTGAATGCGGTATGTATACTTTTCTGCGCGTTAGCGCCGAAAATAACAATGATTTTTCGCGAGATCAACCATCTTTTCCTCTCAGTGTGGCTTGAGACAGTTTTGGACACGTGTCGAAAGCTAAATATGCCTTTCCGATTCTCATGATGAGGCAACGTGGCACGTGACACTCGTAGAAGAAAAACGGAGCGTGGAATTAAAAAGGCAATCGCGCAGTTCGCTATGTGTCCAGAATAGGATTGCTCGAAAAAGCCGTTCTCTGGAATCGCGCGATATCAAACACGAGTAAAGATGCGAAGCACAGCTGAGACGAAGGATTCGAGGGAATTACGCGATCGAATTGTTGGAACAATCCGAGCTGGAAATGTTCGAGCCCCGAGCTTGTGCGGAATCAATCGGCCGATCTGTTCGATCGAACCGGTTACTCGTACCCGAGGAAAACCTGAGCGAGAAGATAGCATTCGTTGAGAACGGGAAATACACAACTTTCGTTTCTTTTCGCCGTGATATATCGCTCAACTTTGCAGTTTCAACTGCTCGGATATGCTTTCAGGCTCGGAAGGTCTGAACGACTTCTAAGGTTCAGGCTCGAAATCTTCGGTTGCTCGAATTATTCGACCATCTGAAAATTCCGGATAATACTGAAAATATCGGGTTGTTCGACAAGTTCGTTGGATTTTCCGCGAAAGATTCAAAGTCGGCATATTTATAGTCAGGCATGACTGTATTTTTTTTTCGTTTTCTTTACGGTGACCTTTCCCCACCGCAAAAATGTCTACTACTGTATCAAAATAAAGTTACACTTTCTGCAAGAATCCTTAGAGAACGTGCCGAGCAACCCAATATATATTGCGCAGTCTCAGGACGCTCCCGTGGGAAACTAACCTCGCGGAATTAAAGGAAACCGCGCTACTTTTCGTTTCAAGTAGTATCATACAGGATAACGTACTCGATCCAATCGATTTGCGTGGCGTTCGGCTCTTGATGCTTCACACACTTATTTCTAAGTTCACCCATATAAACCTGCAAAGCGAACAGTGCAAAAACCATCAGGCAGAAAATCGTCAGCGTCATTACTTCGGCAAGTTGCTTGAAGCTGTGCAACAGCGCGTTGATGATAGTCTTTAGACCTGCAACAGACAATAACAACGCAGCGTTATAATTCGCGATGATCTTGCTCGCACCACCTTGTTCTTCTTACTTTGACTATCAACACTGTTTTCATCAGAACTTTACTCAGCAGCTAAGTGAATGAAAAGAGAAGAAAACGCATCGATTGACGCGCTAATGCTAATAAAATCGCGAAACGGCGCGAAATCCACTGACGCAGCGCGCGACTTCTCGTCACGTGCGTACGTGGCGTTCGAATTGAAATCGACGACGCGCCGACGGAGACGGCGAATAAATCGTGATTCTTTTCAGCGAACATATAACAGACGTGAGATGGGACGAAGTTTCCGGAATGATCCGCGGCGATCCTCGAAACCGCGGAAAGGCAACATTCCCCGTGAATTTCTGGCAAAGTGGTCAAAGTTCGTCGCTTCTTGTTCAGTCATCTAAGAGCTCGTCGTCGTCTCTGCAGAAACTTAAACCCGCTGCTGCCATCTCGGACCTCGGCTGCTTTGTGTCTCGTCCGAGTGGTCAGTGACGGACCATTCTTGCCGCTCTCGTGGCCTTCCATTATTCCTTTTGATCTCTTTAATTTGACTGAGCCTGCTTTCGGCCGAGCTTCCGCCGTATATACTGTCCGTTTCCGCGCTTTCTCAGCTCGCTTTGTTGTTTCGCATGAAGTTTCGTCATGCTCGGTTTAAAGTTACTCGCCGTATGCGTCGGTTTATACATGCACGTGTACGCGTTCGTAGTTTCGACTCGTGTGTCTTCCCCACCCCCTCCTTCCCTCTCTCTCTCTCTTTCTCGTCCACTCTTTTCACTTTGTGCATATTTCAACTCGACAGTCTTTACTCTGTTCTGTCAGCTGTTATTTTTTCCTTTTTACAACTTGGTAAATGCGTGAATTTTATTATTAAAGAACTGTACAAAACGTGTGACGGCGAAAACACACGATATAACAAACTGAGCATCCATCCATATTTTCCAACGGACGCGCGTTACGCGCCCGAATTCCGCCGCGATCGTCATTCCCGGCTGCTCTGACGCGGTGAATAAATTAACACAATAAATCACGATTAACGCCGACGTATCACGCCGCACGAGACCGTGAGAATTTTTACATATCGAGGATGATCATTTACACTTATCTCGACGAAATGCGTGCGTAAATGTGGGTTTCATTTGCAGCGCGAATTAATACGGAACATCCGGTTTATTTGCAGCTGATTAATATGCGTCTGTTGATTATCGATCGTGTGCGTTTAATCGCGGTGCTGAGCGGAATAAGCTTAATATTCTGTTAACTATATCGCGCTGGCCAATGCACTGATACGTTCGCGCTTGATTGTTGCCACGGTATACAATTTCCTATTTCATTACCGATGATACTAGCTTATGCATCTTTTAGTGAAACGCGTTCGCCAAGTATTAAGCGCGCGGAAGTTTATGTAATTTTCATGATCAATCAGTCGTATTCCGACGCAAATTTGAAATAAAATCCGCTGATACGTAAGAAATATACAGAGTGCAGTTATATGATAATTTTAAAACGTTTAACCCGGCGTTAGTAAAGTGAGAAAATGTAACAAAAGTAAGGTAGGGTCTTACAGATCCTATCAAATATTAGTATACTATAGAAATCCACATCTTTTTAATTAATATTAGACTACATATTGTTTAAGTGTCCTGTAATTTTACAAAATAAAAACGTAGATCTACATATTTAAATTTTTATTACCCAAAAATAGCACTTATTACCACGCGTTGTTAAGAAGTTATAGCCAATTTAAAATCTCTGGGTCTGTGATACTTCCACCTTACTAACGCCGGTTTAATAATAATATAATTATAGTATCCAAAGCGACAATGGTTTCTCACTTGTCACATATTTAAAATATATGTTAGAAAATTAATAATAAACGTATAAATGTAACATATTCTCTCAATTTCGAGATTAATTTCTTCTCGAGTTCTCGAGAAAAATAGGTCAGACCACTGTCGTGTCGGATCTTTCAATTGAGGTAAGAGTCTCGCTCACAACGGCGGCAGTCAAGGCGGGTCACACGTATCGGGAAATACGTGCCCGTCTTAGATTCGCTGTATTACCTGGCATAATGGATACAGTCTTAAGTGCTCTCAACACCCTGAACGTCCTGAGACCGGCTAAATTCCCGACTTCCATCCCGATGGTGGCGTAGCCGCTGGTAATCACCACGAAGTCCAACCAATTCCAGGGATTCCGAAGATAAGTGTACTTGTTCAGTATAAATCCCTTTGCTATTGATTTTATCACCATTTCCGCCGTGTATATGGCTAGGAAGATATATCTGGAACACACATGAGAAACATCGGACGCGGGTGAATTACATCGAGCATCGGATCAACGTGCACTGTCGTCTCGTTATCGAAATCCGACGTGTCTGCTGAAAAGCCAGAATGTTATATCGGCTGTCCTCGATCGCGTTTCCTTTATCTACCCCGTACAGATCCCTTGACGAATGGATTTTGTGGCAAAAATTGGATTAAAGGATACTGCAGAGAGGATTTTTCTCTTCGCGTGGGTGAACATTTCGTTACAACTATAAACTAACTGCAAATTGGTCGATCTCGTGACATTCTCATTAATATTATCAAATTGTTCTCAGTGTCGCGGATATCGTTTGAAATAACAATTAAATTCTTCTTTAAACTCAGCTAATCAATGGTTGCGATATTCCATGCGAAATAATCTAAAGATTAAATCTGAACATCCGTAGGACGGCAGTTGCCGGACTTTCCGCGAGATAATGAGCGGCCACCTCTTTGCCATGTACGTCGTAATGATCGAATTTGCGGGGACAAAACGTGCGTCGCCTCTGGCATGTCGTTAAGGAGGCTGGATAGCTTCGAGCGATTATTATCCGCGCCCAAGATACACGCTTGTTAGCCAGTCGATTATTCGATTAATTTGCCACACACATGTGTCGCGACAACTTACGCCTCGTCGATGTAAACTGTGAGCGAGTTCCGGAGCAAGTGAGGGAAAATCGAGGAGGGAAGAGATTGCGATTGTACTTGTTTCATGCACCCCCTCGGAAATATCGATATAAACACGAGTGTCTTTCGATAGAGTAGCTTGCTCGCAGCACGTATCGACTTATCATTTTCAAATGCTGGATCAATTGACTTTTCGAAACGATCTCTGGAGAGGATCACTTGTCTATCGCTTTGAAAGCTCGCTGATCTGAGGCGCATTTGCAGTTCGGGTCGCAAGTTGCATAAAATTACCGCCAGACGTGCATTCACCGGAAGCGCGTTAAACGAATTGCTGTTTGCAGTAGTGACGAGAACCGTCTCTCGCGAGTTACTCGCTGGAGGATACTTAGCTTAAGAGGATTACATGCTGAGCGAACACACGTGAAATGAATGTCAGCTGTACATGTTTAAAGAGAATGCACGACACGCAGCGCGATTTTTCAAACGCGTATTGCGGCTTACTCGACGCAGATCTAACTAGATGTGACACCTAATCGGATGTTCCAGAGGAATAAGAAGTTTTCAGATTGTAATAAAATGTTGATTGAGTTCCGAGTGGACACGGAGAATTTACGACTTAGCTTTACGATCTGACTGTAAGCGAGTCGGTACGAAGAAGAAGAATTTAACCTCGACTGCCGTGAAGTAATTACAATAACTATAACTCTAAGTAACTCTAAGTAACTCTAAGTACATTGAAAAGACTGACTTTCGAACCTAAGGTGAAAGCATCAATTACTCGACACGCACTTTATTCTGGATAATTTTATTGTTTCGGTTTTTCAATATCACGGATATTTAAACTTTTGACACAGAGTACATGTAGTTTTATTCAATATGTATGTACATGATTTTATATTCAATGTTTAAGTATTTGAAGAACACACAAAAAGATCAATGTCCAGGATTAGGTACGTGACCGGGCATTGGCACTTTAACTTTATATTGACTTAGAATCTTGAGTTATTTTTACTCAATGCTTTGTATACTTGATTTTAATACGGTTGGAACACTTTCTTCTCGGTACAACTTGGAACGCAGCCGATGGTTCAATGAAAGAACATAGCTTCCTTTAGCAGTTATTCGGAAACGAGTTCTCTCATTGGCCACCGTCGGCTGTGTTCCAAGCTGCATCGAGAAAAAAGTGTTTCAGACCGTTTGGGAGCCAAGTGTGTGCTTCATAACAGCCGAGCTAAATAGCCAGTATCGCATCATGGTTCTCATAGAAGCCACGTCACGTTTCGTCATGTGATCACAGGAATGAACGTATACTCTGCGGCCGTTCACTGCTAACCGACTGGTCATTGCTACTGCATAATCATGAGACGCCAGGCTATACTTACTCGGCTTCCTCGACGGTTTCGGTCATGGCCAGGAAGACGCAGTTAAGAAGTATGGTAGCCATGACCACGTAATCGAAGTACTGATTCGTACTTAGGAAGATACAGCACCGCCGTATAGGATTCCACGGTGAGAATATGAACCAACTATTAGTCGCCGTAAACCTATGGATGTAGTTCTTGCGGAACCTCTTGGACACCACGCAGAACGTCTGAAACAGAAGCGTGCGCGCTCTCTTACTGTCTGTGTCGGATCGCCGGATCCCTCCGACGGGTTGAGGGGAGATCTGAACTGGATTATCCCGATTCCCTTATAACTGTTTCCGAGACACCGTATATGCTTGAGGATGTATCTTATGTACCGTACATATATGTGTCGTATGCCACGCTCGAGAGCCATAGTCGATTCACTTAAGCGCGAAAGTTGTATACGAGGTGTCCCGGAGAAGGTATAAGGAAAGGGTTGCTCGCGAATTTCTTTCCGGAACGCGCGGGGGTTTGCTTCACCCGAGCGCGACATTTTCACGTCGTTCTCGAAGATGAATATCTCGCTAACGACTTCGCGAATTCGATGTTTGGCGAAGGCGAGCTCGGCGCGCGCATTAATCGAGAGATAATGCTCGATCAGAGAGATACTCCGTCGAAGCGGACTTCTCCCGTGAAAATTCATAATGTGCGAAATCATGCGCCGCGAGAGATCTTGAGCCCTGAAGGACTGCCGCTCCGGGGGCTATAATCGATTCAAGTTAATCTAGCGAGAAGATCAGCAGATCCGTTATTAGAGCAGTATTACTGCGCAAACAGACAAACCGTTATATTACATTGCGTCCTGACATTACTCGAACGAAGTAACAGGATTCACGCAGCTTTGCGCAAAGCACAGAGATTAATTCTTCACTTGCTGCGACGCACGCAGATCAGCTGCGCGCGCTGTTTTTATAAAAAATTTTCAGATACAGAGAGCGTCATAATTAAAATTTCTGCGGTATAATGCGGGACGCACTGGAAAATGCATACAATATAACGGTCGCAATTTGCAATTTAAACATCTTCTTAACTGGACCTTCATTGAAGCCTCTACTCTTAAATTCGAGTAGTAAGTCAAGTTTAACATATCTGTTTGTACGTCTAAGACTCTATTAGTGAGAATTCGTTAGCGTTTAATAATTTCACCATTACAATTTAATTTTGGTAAATGAAAAAGTTCGTACTTCAATGAAGACTATTGTCCATTCTGCTTCCATGCACGGGGAAAAGTTTTGCTTGGATTAACCAAATGGTCTGATGAAATATGAACGAACCAGAATTCCACAGTTGAAGTTAACAATTCCAAGTTAACTGGTCAAGTTAATAAGATTCTGGTTAACAAAACAAAATTTTTAGTTAACTAGAACTTGTAATTTTTCAACTTAAATAGTTGCAGATTCTGTTTAATTAAAAGTCTTATCAGGTTAATCAGAAACCTTGTTTGGTCAACCACAATTGTCCTGTTCAGTTCTGTCTTGAATAGAATTTTTGTAACTTTAGCCGGAATTATTTATCCGGCCGGATCTATTTTGTTCACATTTCACCAGGTATCTGGTTAATTGAAATAAATTTTTTTCCTCGTTTGGTTGATATTTTTAGTGTACTCTGTACGCGAATGATGCAATCAGAATTCAAGTGGAGTAATGGGACACGTATGTGTGGGTTATTACGTGCAATTTGATACCGCGTGACCAACACAGCTGTGTCGTTAAAATTGATTAAGTTCTGTTATACATCGAGGGGGAAGAGTTCGCACCTATTACACGGTGTTTCACTCACGTTCAGTGAATCACGGTGAGGTGTAGCATGGCGGTTCGCTCTGTTCGCAGGATATAGAGCTTAAGCAGCATGCTAAAACGGCGCAACCTCCAAAGACGGTAGTGGGTCAACGTGTAATTATTAATAACTCGTTTCAGCATTCAGACAACGGCCCCGGTATCTGCGAATTCAGACGATAGTGCAAGGGTTGTTTCTAAGACCGAGGTCTAAACGCGACAATCTGATCATTTTCTGCCTAAAGTGCTGATTTGTTAATTGCTTCTTCGAGGAAACATTGATTAGGCCGGTATGAGAGGAAACTCATCTTACCTCCCGAAACGAGAATTATTCGTTGGGAAATTTATGCTCACCACTTCGCCACGAGCTTATCTTGCGTTTAATCTAATCTCTTCGACGTACATAATGTTAAAATGCGATTTGTTCGTTTCCAACTATTCGTTTCTCTATTTTTCCAATTACAATACAGATTTAGTAAACAGAGAAGTTTACACACTTTGATGAAAAATATCATGCATTTCGCAATGGGACTCGATTTTACTAAATGCATGCGCTATTTTCCGCAAATTGGAAAAGTAACATATGAATCATGAGAGAGTAGTAAAGTGATATTTATTGAGGGCGCGTATAAATAAATATAATCAAACGTGAATGTACAAACTGCGAAAATAAACCCGCGAGCGCAGGGAGAAATTCATTACGCCGTTTGCAACGGCGTTAAAAAGCGCCAAGAAAAATTTTGCGCGGGAAATTACTATAAGTTGAACCGGTTACGTTCCAATGTATAACTGCGTTTTTTTTTAAACTTACGACTCGCAATTAAGTAGACCGTGCAGCGTCTAACACTCAACATGCTTTTCTTCATATTAGGCGCACGCGGGCGGCTGTATATTTCACAAACCTTATCTTAAATACTCCGCGGAGAAACAATGCGACCGCAAGCCTACCCGGAATGCCGCTTTTCATAATTAACCCTTTTACCCACGGGATGTTATATAACTGCGTGCAGCTAGTCGCTTAAGGTAATCGTAATCAAACTCGTTTATCGAAATAGAACTCGCGCTGTCTTAATTGCATCACAAATTCCGATGGCACTAACTGATTATTGTTAGTAAATCTCCTTATATTTACCAGAAGTTTGCAAACATCGGTATAATCACATCGGTGTGACCGATTTATGATCACGCAAGTAAGAAAATAATTTTAAATAATCCTTCATATAATTCTCATAAAGAGATTCAGTTCCTTCTGTTTCCCTCAATCCTGCTAGGCAATTGAAAAATTATCGTTTCTTCAGCGTTCTTGCGAGAGGAACTTTCAGCTTATCGAATCCCCTGAAGAGGAGCTCAGCTAGCCGGAGACGTCTGTTGTAGCTCACAGCCAGCCGATGTCGACAAATCAATGCGCCTGCAGTGGAAACTTGTCTCCTCCTAAATTTACCTGCGTTTGGCTCGGAGTTTTGATCGTAAATCGGGACAAGTTGTCGCGCGCACACGTGCGCGTTTTTCGACGTTCATGTTGCACGTATATGGCTACCGTAGTCCCCGTATCTCCTTTATGTTGTTAGAAATGCCTTTATGTTATAATTAATTGCGTCTTTCCTCGATAAGATGTTGGCCCCTGCCGACGATGTGTCTCTCTTTACACGGAGTGTCTCTCTTTACAGGCGAGTTTTATAGCCCTGTGAAAGATACGACACATAAACTTCTTATCCGAGCACGAGCATACAATGGCAACTCGTGTACAGCGCCGTGTGTGTGAGTTCAGATTTCGCTTTACGGTACTTTAAGCTGGCGAGATACTCGCGAAAATCGACGATCTCAGAGACAATGACGCGGGGAACTCGACTTCCGTCTAGTCGCGACGTGAGAAGAAATCCAGTTAATGGATAGAAGAAAGATGGGAAGAAAATGGCGGGACATCGTGTATGTTACGCTTTTCTGGATCATTTCCCGCGGCTACGTTGATAAAGCTCGACTCGAGCTCACGCTCGGTTCAAAGTCAGCGAGTCGTTTTCGGTGCTTTCACGGCGAAACAGAACGAAGGCCAACGGCCTACTTTCGAGTCATCAGATGTGACGATGCGCCGTTGAAAGTGGAGCGTACCGGAGTCGGGATTATAAATTGAGGGTGTCGTCGCCTTAAGGCCTCCCCTCGGCTCGGTCTGAAAAAAATACGCGCACAGAATAGCGCGCTTCGCGGCAGCCGTCGCAATTTGCATCGTTTAACCCCTTCACCCACGACCGCCATTCAGCCCGACGGCGTTTCTTTGTTGGTCTGTACGCAATTGCGAATTCCCCGAGATCCTTCGGCAAATTTCACTCCTATTTACGTTATTCGGAGATCGTAAAAATAGCGCGAAATGGACGCTTTAAGATTCCTTATCAGCGAAAATGTTGGGATTCCGACCGTTCTACTCACTACGGTGAATTGGAACTAAGTTGATTCCCCGTGAATTAAACTGTAAGTAAACAGCGAGATCTCGGTCGTCGTTCGGTCTCAAGCAAATGAAGGTCAGAGAAACTTTGATGTCACGGTCAATTCTTAGGAGAATCAGTAATCTGTCGCAGCGAAAAGTTCGTTGCGGTGGATCCGGTGGAATTCTGCTGAGGGAAGGACATTAGAGGCGAGAACGAGTGTGGCGTCAGCATTTTTTAAAAATGCATGTCCTCGGTAAAAATGATGAGAAATAAATAATTCATTCGTTAACATACGAAGAATAAATCTAGCGTGGAAAATTTCAACAAGTGGGAATTGGGACAAACTCCTGGCCTTCCAGTTGTCCGACTTGCAAAGCTCATTTCCTTGCGCTTTAACAAAATAATCGTAAGCGCCACAGATTCGTTTCCGCCTTATCCAAAGCAATCTGATTTCCGTCCCGATTAATTAACGGTCGTCAGTTTGCCGAAAGAATTCATAGACGCTTTCGTCCGACCGTCCCCGCGCTCCCAACGTGCCAAAGTTGTGTGGGAACTTTTACCATCGACAACAGACACAAAGACGAAGAGAACGACAGTCGTTCTCGCGCGGAACTTCTTTTTTCTTTTCGGCAGAAACTTCACCGGACCCGATTCTTGGCTCAGTCGATGCCGTTTTATAGACGCGAACTTATTTAGAGCCCGAAGAATGGCGTTCAAGCCAAAGGGTTGTTGTAACGTCACGATTAGCCTGCGGCAGCGTTCCGCTGTTCAGTCTACCGCGCGCCGCTCACGCGAGGACAGTTGAGGTGGAAAAATTCTTCTTCGCATTCAAATAGATCGCAAATAAATCAGTTTTTACGTACACTTGCCGAACTCAAGCTACTCTATGTAACCGAGGCTAATGTTAAATTCATGAAAGATTGTGAGCCACGGCGTATATCAAGGAGGTATCAAACGGGGAAATCAAGCGGAATCGATTAACCATAAAAT